GTATTACAGGATTTACTTTAAACAGCTTCTTTAAAATGTTCTGTTTCTTTTTGCTATTTTGTCACAAAACAGACTATACTGGTACACTTGCTATAGTTCTGAAGGATTTCTGCCAAAAGCGTAGCATTAGTTTAAGCTGTAGAATCCAGCTACATACATCAACTGTTAAGTATCAGTAAAAAAAAAAGAAAAAAAAGAAAAGAAAATTAATGGGGAAGGGGGATGTATGAAATGTCTTTAACGTTAATGCTAATCACTTTTTGCCTATTAAGCACAAATTAGTGAGGGCGATGTTAAATGTCACTGGATGTCCTGGGAACCATTTGCACTTTTAAGAGTGCAGACCTACTGAATAGCTTCTGATTAGCATACTTTAGATATGGATTAATTCTCTCCTCTGCTGATATGTCACATATCACATGGATCCATAAAGCTTTGACAATGATGCTAAAAGACAAAGCCTGCTGGGTGTCAGAAAATACACAAGACATGTTAATATGTAAGATTGGAGTTGTTCTGTAAGGTATAGCCTATGTCTGACTAGTTTAAGTGTGCAGGGGAAAACAAAGTGGAGTGGGACGGTTCAGAATGGCTTACTATTGTTATACTATTTTAGCAAAATAAATTTAGCAATAAAGCATTGTTTTAAATGCTACAAAGGAATTTTAGACATCATAACTTAAAGATTACATTTAAAAGTGTTAAAAATTATTATTGTCTTTAAAAATTAACTTTAGGTGAGCATTAGATGATAGCAAAGATAATTTAAAGATAAAAATATAAGACTTTTTTCACATTATCAGCAGTAACCCATTAACAATGCATTGATATTAACATTATGGCTAATACAATAATTATTTTAATGTCATGGCAGATAGCCGATAAAGGGCTGATATTAAAATCACATATTTTATCTGAATAAATTTGAATTAAAGCTAACAATTGTTTTAAATGTTACAAAAGAATTTAGGCATCACATTATTAGTGTTTTTAAAGATTGAGATTAGATTGAGTATAATCTAAAGGTAAAAATAGAGCAAATTAGCATGCACAATAAAATATTGGATATACAGTACTGATTAACTGTAATTGAAAAACAATTACCAAAAAAATTGTGAAAATTGATTTGTTACTGATATACTTGTGCATCCCTAATCACTATTCATGTACTGTGGTATTTATGTGACTTTAACGTAACTCAAAGTATTTGACAGTTTTTACAGTTAATCAGACCTTTCAATGTTTTTTATTTAAAATGTCATTCTTTTTGTCATTTTAGCAAGCATGTTTTATGTTTGGAGAATTTTACTCCATCTATAACTGAAAGCCTCCTCATCGAGACATCATTTTCTTGGCCGCCAGCCTCTCGCATTTGACAATGGCGATGCGAGGCGAACAGAAGAGAGTGTCTGCGTCCCTGATGACTAGCGTTCGCTTTCTCAGCTGTTTGGCTGTAAATAATCATTGATATGCATAAACAGCTCTCTCCATTCATTACTGTCAGCATAGTGAGGGGCCTGCAGGCAGAGGTCGTCCGCCAGGGGTCCGCTCTCCGCTCTCAACCCCGCGGTACCCGTCACTCCAACCTGCTCCACCAGTGCCCTAAACCCTCCATTAGCAAGGCTCTGGGTCGTGACCTCACTGTGGCATTTGCAATTCCAGATCGTTTGATTAGCAGCGTATTTACATATTTCCCGCCACAGACACTGTTAGGGTGTCGGAAACACTTGAAGTGTTGTAATTTTCTCTGGCCTTTTTGTCGTGTGGCGCTCGTGGGCCAACGCACACACACAAATACACACATGCACTTCTTTTCTACTCACCTCCAATGACAGTGACAGCGTCCTTCGCTTTTCTGCGACAACTCTACGGTTCGGCTCTGACCCTCGGAGAAGTGCCCAGTGAAGTGGATCACAATCCCATCTGAATGCCCCAAGGATGGGTGGCCTCTTGCCTTTTAAATCTAGTCTGATTAAAGGCAGAGTTTTTAATGCATGAATCAGATTTTTACCAATGAGTGGTCTTCATTCTGGATCTGAGAACGGACTTGAACTCCACAGTCAAAGCAATTAATTTAGTCCGTTGCAGAGGCAGTTTAATTTCTTGATAGTATAACTGAAGCTCACAAATGAGATCTGTTTAAATAACTAGTGTTGAAGCATTTTCTTGCTCAAACAGGAAGTTTTGGGAAGAAGATATTGTTTGTTCCCTCTATTTCCCCCCATTTTAAGAAATTTAAATGAATTAATAAGAACGCCATTAGTTTCCTGAGTTATGAAAGAGCAATAAAAGCATTTTTTTTCTCTCTTTCAGGGCATTGCAGTTTACGGTAAGTATCTTGAATAATATATATATATATATTAATGAGAACCTAAACTCATCTTGTTTTTACCTGTACCCGGCCCGCATAGGTATAACTGTGATCTTGAACAGCACCCCACAGAGGTTTGTTTTTGGTCAGAGGTCTATTGTGTAGCTAGTAGATCAGACAGACTCCTGCAGTTGTTTAGCAATGTAATCCCAAGTCATTTGTCACAGCACAGAGCAGCAGCACTAGCTATGCATGCACAAAAGGAGATCAATGCAATTAGCAACCATTTCAATGCAAAGGACTTCAATACTAATGTAAGTGAACACACATGACAGAGAGAGGTCAGAGAGAAAAAGAGGGAGAGAAAGAGATATGTCTGTTTGAGTAAAATGTAATTTAGAGCATATTATAATTTGGCTAATGTGTGTGTTTTTTTAGATATTTAACACCTGTACAAATGGTAGCGGTTGACCCTTACTGTGGAATACAGTATCCCCATGCTGCAGTGCAGTATCTTGAATGACAGTGTGTATGAATAGACCAATGTTTCCCCAGACATTATGTAGCCAAAACAGAAAATTATTCAGAACCACTACCCAATTGCAAGTGTGATTTTGCTATATATACAAAAATTTATATTGAGTAACAGGAAGCTTTCCGCTATAGGGATTCTTTACAGGCATTTGAATATTTTGAATCTGGTCTCTAAAAAAAGATGTTACACCAGTAGGTAGCACCAACTGTCTTTCTATGTTATGAGTGAGTCATTGAATCATTACGCAACTGATTCGATAACAGCATCCAAAATCGTATATTTATCTTTTCACATACTGTTTTTTTGCCTAATATATAGTAGGGAAGTAAGCATAGTCGGTCGAAGGGGAGCCATTCACCAATTAAATGTTATTTCCCAACTTAAACTTGAATGATATAGGATCTTAATATAGTCAGTTTTTAAAGCCAGCAGAGGAGCCACATGCTTCAAAAGGGAAAGACTTTAAAATTAAGAATGAAGAATTAGTCCTAGAAAAAAAAAAAAAAATCACAGACTCATCTACGAATTAAACCTCGATCATTCTGTAGCTCTGGTTGGGAAACATTGGTCTAGATCAATATTAACACTAATATTAATATTAGTACCATTTAGACCAAAGGTAAAGGTAAAGTTTAATTTAAGCGGTTCAAAACTTCAACAATGGACGATAAATGAATTGGAGATGATCTGAGGATGACAGTCAACAGGTTTTGTGTACTTCATTGAACAAAATATATGTGGAGGGAAGAACAAACTTTTAACCACACAAAATACATTCCATACATTCAACTACTACTTCTAATCAAACCACAAAATTAATAGTGTTACATAAAGAAAAAACACTCCAATTGCAAATGAATTCATAACATGCTATTAATTTAGGTCTTCTGTTCTAGTACTCAGGGGTTTAAATTTATTAAAAAGCTAACAGGAAAAACTATTCATGTTTCTCGTGTCCTAGGACAAATTTTAAAAGTTGATTTACTGTTAGTAAATTACAATTAAGCAGTCACATTTCATCCAATGCAACTTCCAAGACATCAATTGCAGGAGCATGGAGTGCCTATAGAGCGACCAAGGGTTAAGTGCCTTGCTCAAGGGCAGTGGTGATAGGACCGTGTTCACAATAACTCTCAGTTCCTGGGTCACCGCTGCTGCTTAGAACCTGCAACATGTTTCAGTTTGCTGAGCATCAACACAAAAAATTCACATTGGAGCTTCTTCTCAAACAAAATTCATAATGTAGGATCAGTTTTCTTGGCTTAGTTTCCAACACAAGGATTTAGGCAATATAAATACTCTAGATAAATGTTCATTTTTGACTGTTGTTCATATTTGAATGCAATTAAATGTACACAGCTTTTATCTTCGTAAATATCTAATTACCATATACAGCATTCATAGAAATATATGGCCAAGAATTTCTTTGTGTTTAAGTTTTCAACCTCTAAAAAATATGGCATTCTAAAGCTTTATAAGTAACATTATAAAACACACTAAATCCCCCAATCTAGTTTTGCACTAACCACTAGTCTCTCTATTATGCAATAATTTAAATGATTACACAGACAACTTGCAACTCCGCATGTTAAGATTAAAACAGATCCTTCATCAAAAACTTGAGCATTTTAACATGGCTTTAAGCCCTGATGCGCCATTGAATTAACAGTGTTCTTTCTTTCTTTTTTGGATACAATTATTCAGAATCCACTAAGGCAAACATGTTTGATGGGGGAAAAAAAGAGAAAAACATTAAAACTTGTGTAGGCTACATCAAAAAAGTAACCGCAGACACAAATAATATTTCTGACTTTGTTGGACCAATCAGATGACACTAACGCAAAATATGGCATGTGTCTTTACCTTCAACTCTTCAGAGAGAAGGTTTATGAATATGACACTCGATGCAAGTGGAAACCTATGTAACATTACAGCTGCACTTACACAAATACTTCAAATTCCAGTTTAACACAATACAAAAGTGTTCAGGACATATTTTGATGATAGTGCCAAGTGTTGCCCAACCAGTGACAAAACACACTCAACTATATATATATATATATATATATATATATATGCCTATAATCAGCAAAACTAAGTAATGAATTTCACTGCATGTCTACACACAAATATATATATATATATATATATATATATATATGCCTATAATCAGCAAAACTAAGTAATGAATTTCACTGCATGTCTCCTTTGCATGCAGTTACACACTGGTGTGAATGAATGCAGGCTTTGGAATCGCGTCTAACTCAAGTCCTGAGAAGTAGAATGTGGAAAACACAATCGCACACACACGCACAAACTACACTCGTTGCGCACTAAGGCTATTTTGTTTAACAACTAGTCAAGTGGGGAACTCCGAGGCAGCATTTCAAGTTTAGGGGATCAGCTGAAGACCTTGGGTTTGAGAACACAGCTCACTGTCATACTCCATCAGTTCTAACCTCGTGCTGTTGAGGCTTTAGCCCTCAAGTGTTTTGTAAGTCTCTGGAAAAAGGTGGTGTAAACATGTGTCCCCCCTTTCAGTTTAATCTAGAGCTTTGTGTCAGGAGAAAATAAAAAGGAAACATGGAATGTCTAAAAACTAAACTAAAAACACAAACGAATCCAGTGCCGTACATTACATTAAGTCTTCCTCGAATGCCGTGTTTGTGCATCAAACCATTTTTAATGGACCTTTTATAGATTTAAGCCCTCATTTGAGCTGGTTGTGAGGAGGTGGAGATGCTCAGTGAGGTCTGGAAGGGTCCATGGGTTCATTGGTAGGGGCTTGGCGGAGTCTCCTGTCCGGGTACTGCGTGTTGTCGAAGGCTAGGCGGTGCACGGTCTGGACATGGGTCTTCAGGTTACCTTTCTGCGAGGCGCTGTAAGGACAGTATCGGCACTGGAAAGGTCGCTCACCTGAAACGGATACACAAAAAACAAGATGAGGTCAGAGTCTGGACCCCAAGGTGAGAGCGGAGCCGAGGTTGGAACCAGAGAGGAGAGAGAGGTTACGTGGCGGTGATGTTGGAGGGCTGACTTTGAGAGTGCTGCCTTCCCTTTTTAAGAGGAAAGAACAGAGGCAGGTTGGGAAGGTGGGGGGAGGGGCCGCGGCATGATTGATGGGCTGATGACATGCCATATGGAGACGGTTGACTGTTCCCCCCGAGGGGACGTCAGCCTTTTGTTTTCTGTTTCTGTCAGCTGTTCGTACAAACACACAAACTCACAGACACAGGAATCTCTGCCTGTCTGCCTTCCCCTGAGCAATAAGACGTCACATTGACGGTAGATGTCGAAAGTCTGGGCATATCAAGTTTTGCGAGGAGAGGCGAACTTGACAACCACACACAGACCTAGTTTCTCCTTCTGTCCATGTCTGTTTGGGGCTCAACACTGGAATAATTGTCAGAGTCCCAGTTTCAGCGTTTAATTAGACTGATGTACAATGTTGTCCTCGAGCAGTCACATAAAAATATCCCCCAACACCTGAGCAAAACAAATGAGTCTGCCATTCAATTTCTCCATATTATTATTATTGAAAAATGAATGAATTATCCACAAGGAAATAATTGTCATTCCGAGGGGCTGAAAGAGGGGTATTATCATAAATCATGGCTCATAAAAAAATGAAGACAGACACAATTAATCAGGACTATCTGAGGCTGGGTTGCGCTGGCTGCCTGATAAGGTCTGCAGCACAGTAAGAGCTCATCCAGGGGCACTGTGGTTCCCTAGAGGAGTAGAAAGTGAAACCCCGATCCAAAACAGAACCCACCAAATTACATTAAAGGTTATTGTCAGAACATCACCAAGAGTGCGGCACAAATTGAATTTGACCTTTACTCTCGGCCTGCTTTGCTATTTGTAATATGCAACACATGCAAAGGGAGTAATTCATTAAGGGTGGGCCTCCCCGCTGTAGCAAAGCGCATCGCCGATTGTTAAGGTAGATGCGGATGCAATCCATTTGATCTCCTAGCATTGGTTTATTTCTAGAACTTTCTGCGCAGTAAAAACGATGGCAGGTAGAAACTGCACATCACAGAATGAAGAAAGATGAAGAAATGACTGACAGGACAGAAAAAAAAAAATACACAAGATAAACACAAATAAGGCAAACAACCGAACGAAAAGTGAAACATACTTGTTTGGGGGCTTCTGTAGAGGATGGACTCCAGTTCCCATGAGTCCACTGGACTCAAACATCACTGTGGGAGCAAGGTGGCCGGGTTAAACAGAGGAAATCAAATTTATCATGTTGCAAAAATTGGAACTTGTTCCCTTTTATTGTTACCCAGCAGGGTGCAAACATAATTCTAGCAAAAATTCAACTTTTAAATCTACATAAAATCAAAATTTACCCCATTTACTTTTGAATCACAAGTTCCTGGTCTATTTCTGAATGACCCATTGGTACACACATCATTCCAAAGCCAAATAAAATTGTCTTCAAAATATAATAATTTGCTGCGCCTATAAAACAAGTTTCCTTTTCAGCTGAAGTCACCAACTCAAGCCAAGTGTGTCAACACTCCAACCACATGAAATAGAAACCAATCAACTGGGCTATATATACATTTATATATTATTTCATTGAATACCCTGTTTCATTGGGACATGCATCACATTACAGAAATACAATTGGTTGCTAATACGTTTCACGCTGACTTTAATGGTGTTTCTGCTTTTCCTGGTCACATTCAAAGGAAGTATTGAGCATCATCAAAGCAGGAATCCATTTAAAGTGCTAAGGTGCAAACCCAGAATCCACCCGCTCATCAAGCATTAGCCGTAAAGGCCTTGAATTAGCATCACCAGTTAGCGTGGCCGCAGCAGACAGTGAACTGAAACTACCAATTTAAAGTGACACACAGAGTTAGTGTGCATGCTAATGGAGGCCGGGGGCCCCTGCCCCGCTTCATTTGGAAGCTCACACTGAAGAGAGCAATCACTGATGACGTTGATTGTAAATCTATGTGTGTAGAGAGAGAGAGAGAGCTCCATAAAATGTAGCATTTGGCCTCTGTCACTGGGGATCAGTCTGGCTAGCATGCACAACCTTCACACACTCTTAAAAAAAAATAAAAAAACTCAGTCCTAGTCATAATCTGAGTGGCTAAGTGCACCCTGTTTAAAATATTGAAGGATAGCCTATTCTTTTCGACTACTGCGAATGGTACATGACCTCTTTATATTATATATTATTAAAAAGCTGCTATGGTGCATGCTAATGACGTGCACTTTGCCCACAGCAACCAGGAGGCAAATGTAGTAAATACTCATAGAAAAGGTAATTTCATACTTTTTGATTTAAAATACAATGGAGATGCATCATATCTAAATAATGCAAACATAAAATGGTGCACAACTTCATTACAGATTTATTATATCGTATGAAAGTTTGTTGTTGAACATGAATGATGGATATAATCTTATCTGTGATGAAATGAAGTCTCCCGATTGAGTAGGTGTGTATGTGTGTGTGTGGTTTGACGAGAAGACAAGGGCAAACTGTCACATTTTCTCAGCAAGCATTTGATGCATATCATACTGGACTGGTGACTGCTCAGCTTATTAGCATGCACAATTACAGCTCCATAAGTGACATCTGATTAATAATGTATACAATTTTCACAGGTCAGAGTCACACGCAAATATGTTTGCGGTGGAAAAAAAGAAAGAGTCTCGTCCAAGGACAGAGAGAGATCGCTCACTATACATACACACACACACACACACACACACACACACACACACACATAAATGCATACATACATGTACATTTAAATATATATAAATATTTGTCGCATATATTCAGGAATCATTTAGCAGCTTCTTCCTTTTCCAGCAAGACTATATACATTTTTGGTGTATTTGTAAATATTTCACTTTTTATAATTAATTTTTCATATATTTTTAATGATTTTACTGCACAACACTAACATATTAGATAAAGTATCTTTTAAGATTACATATATTTATAATTACATTTACAAGGATAAAATGATATGACAACATAAAAATGACAAAAAAAATTAATATAATGTGATATTAAAAGCACTTAATTTGCACTACAATGCAAATTACTGGATAAAGTATATTATAATACCTTATAATATTTTTATAGAAATTATATTTAATATATTTACAATCATATTTATAATTTGACAATAAAAACAGGATAAATTATCTTATAGTATCTTATAATTGTATTATATTTTTAATTATATTTGCAATGATAAAATGTGATAGAAATGTCACAAAACAGCATTTTTAATCGAAAAACAATATTTTGTGTCTAGAAATTCTACAAAAAGAAAAAAGTTAAGTTAGTAGATTCGGTTAATTGCTGTCCAAAGTTGGTGTGTGTGTTTGTTTTTAGTGTGTGTTTCTCACCTGTGTGTGATCTCATATGTGTGCTGTAATGGCTGGGCTGGTTGAAGCTCTTCCTGCACACTGGACACACATACTCCCCCTGCTGAGACCCTGACCTCGTCAACCCTACAGTTCACACACACACACACACACACACACACAGACAGAGAAAGAGAAATGAAAATTAATAGGAAAAACGTGCACGGAGCAGAAAGAGAGGTTAAGAGACGGAGGGAGAGAGAGAGGAAGCATCATTAGTATGTTTTATGTGTCATTATGGGAGGCTACCTTCAGGGCTTGGATGGGGAGCTGTCATGCCGCATCACGAGAGCATCTCCGACAGCCTGACATGAACACAGGCCCATGTGACTGCATAAATTACTGTGAATTAAAAGCCTTGCCCTGTGATGTGCCCCCATCTGCGCTACCATGTCACATGTCAGGTGTGCTGCTTTCCCCTTTCTCCCTCTCTCCTTGTCTCCTTCCCTCTCGCTCTCGCTGTTCTTTTCCTGCCCGTCGCTCTAGCTATGTCAGCCTTCGTCCGCGTGGGGGGAATTGCTCGGACACGTGTGCATCGGTGAAGGACTCGCTGAAGTAACAGGAACGGATGTGGAACCTGAAGCAACCGGCATCTCGTTTCCCCTTAGGGTGCTTTAAGAGCACGAGCTGAAATGTTGTCCCTTTAGCTCCTGTCCGTCACCTGGCACTGGTGGTCCTACCTGCTCCGACCCCTCAAGCCCCGCTTTGTTGTAGTGCCGAGCCGTGACTGAGAGTGTTGGTGGCAGTAGTAAGCAAGGCTACGTCTAGTAAACATGAGTCCGTGAGTTATTACCATACCGGAGCGATGCAACAGGAAAAGCAGCAGACAGCACAAACAAAAGGAAAGTCTAACATTGGAAAGGTCACTTTATTGTATGTGACTCAAAGGGCTAAAGAGAGCACTGATGATATCAGGCCAGACAGTTGACAGAATTTCCACTGTCTTTCCGCAGAACTACACTCACTGATGCTGGCCAACTGGACCAACGCCTGGCAAAATGTCCTTAAATGAAGTGGAATGAAAAAAAAAAAGCATTTGAAAATATTTTTCTAAGCAGCTGGTGGCTTAATTTGACTCTTTCGTTCATTCACTCATTGAGTGTGCTGCTTTGCATATTTGTGGCATCGAGGCGCTGTATCCCCAAGGAGAGCACCCAGCGTGCCGTTAGGAGCCTGATGTTTAAGGCTCGCGATGCCTCTCAGCGATAGCTGTCTGAAATGTTTTTACACATTTTCGTAGGTTACACGATGATGAAGAGATTACTCAATAGTTCCATTAACCTTTGCGTATTCGCATGCTGGCACAATGGTGTGTGCGTGTGTGGGGTGCTGTGTGCAATTTTAGCCCTCACTGTACTCGTTTGTCATTTCAGCTCAGGAATAAATGTAGTTAATGTGCCTTTGCTGAATAATTCAAATACTTTGACTTGACAACCATTTCCCAGCATGTCGATCTTTAGCAGTTTGCAGAATTACAATGGCGCTGTAGAGTAATTCGTGTAATTGATGAAATTCTAACTACAGATAAACAGATAAATCCTGTCTGGATAAATTTGTCAAAACAAATAAAAATAAAACACTACAAACTAAAATCAATTGATTTTAATACTACAAGTGAATTTAGGCATTACAACTTTATGAAAAATTGAGTCATTTTGTGATTTGCAAAATATCCCAATAAACAGCGTTATTAAAGATTAACTTTAGGTGAGTGTTAGATGACAGCAAAGGTAATCTAAATGTAAAAATGAGGAAATGAGCACGTACAAATAAATATCTAATATTGTCGGATACCAATAAATAGAAAAAAAATCTCTTATACCAATACCAATATATTATATCCCTAGACACAGGCATTCTAAACAGCAAACATCTGATGCTACAAACTTTGTCAACAGATAGTAAACAACTTTAAATTTTACTTTCATAAATTTTGAAAAAATGTGTCCCAGCAAGTTTGTGTATTACATTGCATTACAGTATGTATATATTTCCATTATAGGCCATCTTTTTCTCTATATATCAGTATCGGATGTCACTGAAAGACTACCACTAATTGTGATCTTGTTTTTTTTTTACCTTCAACTATCTCTGTAAATGATTAATTGTGCATCCACAATTGTAGTTTTATTTGAAGGTTTGTTAACTGAGGTATGCAAATGTAGTAATTGGCTTAATAAATGCACATGTGCATCTTGCCTTATTTGATGTTTCAAGAGTCATAATCACAAACGGTACAGAAGAATATGTATAATATAAGTCCAGTGTGCACTAACCCACTGCAAATTAATATGATTTCTCAATACCAGTTTAGTAATCCGTTTCAGAAAAAGTGAAATAGGCTCAAAATACATCATAGAGGGACCCCAAAATGTATTTGGACACACAAATCCCTAAACACTTGCTTAATGTTTCATCATTGCATTGATGTGTCATTGCATCAGATCACACCAAATTACATTTTTTGCACTTTTCAAATCAAAATATTTCACAAAAATATGCTATTGATTGATTGATTGATTGATTGCTTGATTGTGAAATGATCTTACATTTTTGAGGGTGTCTTTAATGTCCAAATACTTTTGGGCCACTGTACAATAAATTTAAACTTATTAGAAAAAAAATAAACAGTAAAAATCAGCATTATATAATACTGGTTATGAATATCAATGCAGAATTCTATACAACCACTTACCTGCTTGCTCTGCCATGGCGTTGTTGAAGCCCCAGTGGTGGTAGAGGGCAGCTAGATCGTGAGGACTGCAGTTCTTCAAGAAACTCAGGATGTCCGTCACAGGTTCTGGACCATCGGTCGTCAACTGTCTTTTGGACTGGGAGTGAGAGGACGATCCTCTCAAGCCAAGTCTGCTCCAGGGGTCATACCCAGACACGGATGGTGTATCCTGAGCTTGAGAATCAGACCTGCCGGAGGTCTGAGGAGCATAGGCTTTGGAGCTCCTCTGATCTGAGAGTTTGTGTTTGCTAGAGAGCATAAAATGAAGTCCCTCTTGAGGTAGCAGACTACTCTCCATCACTCTGCTTCCTGTCTTTGGGTTCCCAGTCTTCTGAGGCCTTGCCGTAGGCCGCGAGGAACTGTTTTGATGGACGTCTGCTTTGTGTTTACTGCCTGCCAACTCATCTGTCCTGGACTTGATGGTCTTGTGTTTGGACGAGTGAGATGATGCCCCCGGTGCTGTGGCCACGTGCCAGCTCTTGCTTTGCGAGGAGCTGGACTCTACGCTACTTGTCGGAGGTTTTGATTTCTTCATCCCTCCAGGACTGCAATCAGGTGGAATCGTTCGGGATGTTCTCATCTGTGGCAGAGAGGGGCAGTCCTTACCCTCCAGAAACGGAGGTGGCCCGGTGCGTCTCTTGAAATCGAGAAGTGATTTGGGCCCCTTGAGGCCATTTCTCGGGGCCCACTTAGGCACCAACGTAGTGCTGTCAACTTTGTGTGCAATTCGTTGGTGAATCCAGAGAACTTCTAGATACAGGGTTGCATAGGAGCAATAAGGACACTGGTGTCGAACCAAACTTTTCAAGAACATGGAAGAAACCCCTTCTTTTTCATTATCCACCTCCATGGAGAGATTAAGCAGATTAGCATCCACTTTATCCATGGTGCTACTTCCTTCCAACCCCTTGTTCCTTTCCTCCTCAGTCTTTGACGCTGCATCGCTCAGTGCTGCCCTCTCCAGGTGAGTTGAGCTGGTGTAGGGCCAGTAGGGCTGTTGCAGCAGGGCATTTCTCAGTCTTGGGAAGCCCGTGTGGTTCCTTTGGTGAGGTTGGCTTTGGCTGAGTGAGCTGGTTAAGGCATCACTCCTCTGGCCCCAGTTCCTGATTGCCATATCATGCGTTTGGACGTGGGCAGCGATGGCCGAGGGCTCCGAGGTGCAAAAGTCACAGTGCTCACAGGTGTATGGCTTTTTATCTGTCATGAAAACAACATATAGGGATTTGTAACTACACAACAACAACATTTTCTGAACAAAAGCCAGCAATCAGCACAACAATGAATTTAGACACTGAAATTCAAAACAGTTTTGGAGTTTCACCACAAGATGGCACCCCATAACTACTTAATTTTACTTCAGTACATGTACTAATACTGATTGAGAAGTTTTGTTTTACATTATTTTTATGACTGAAAAATGATTTTAAGAGCGAGTGTACACACACACACAAACACTAAAAATTTAGGGTCAGTAAGATTTTTTAAAGGAACGCCCTACTTCATTCAGCAAGGATGCATTAAATTGGTCAAAAGAAACAGTAAAGTTAAAGATGTTAGAAAAGATTTCTATTTTAAATATATTATTCAAATGTTTCTTTTGGATATTTTATTCACCAAAGAATAGTGACAAATTTGAGGTTTCCACTAAAACATGAAGTAGCCAACATATTATCAACTTTTCAACATTGATAATACTAAAAAATCTTTCTTGAGCACCAAATCAATAATATATAAACATGATGTAACATATATAATATGATGTAACTATAGCATATACAATATAATTGTCTAATATAATGCAACATCTAATATGTGAAATTTACTCTCTATGGCATTGTATAACATACACATGTAAATGATAATCTGCACAGTTACACAAGGTCAAAAACCTTAACAGTGGTAGCACAATCACACACAGTTTGTTTAACAGTAGTACAATGGAGCAACAGACTACTGGGCCTGGGAACTTTGCCTGGGACTACCTCTTCTCATCTGTCAGCAAGATGTTTGCTTACATTTAACATGTCTGCAATCTCTCAGTAGCTCTCTCTCTTTCTATTCTCTCTCTCAAGCCATCTGGATTGCATTTGGTGGCTTACACTAGCTGCTGTGCAGCCTTCATTCCAACCTCTCTGAGGTTATTTTTGAGCCAATTCGGAGAGGGGGGTCCTCTGAGATAAACTTTACATGAACATAATGGCCATGACTGCTTCCATACATTCTTTCTGCTTTTCAGTAGAAAAGCTACGAGAGGAACTATCATATTCTAAGAATTATTTGGTCTTATTAAGAATCTTGTAGAGGAGCGCATTCTACAGATTTCACACCTACATGAAAATATCAGCAGTGAGTGGACATCGGTTTCAACTCTTACACAATGAAACCTCTGTTCTGGAACATTCCATTTGTGTCAATCCCTAAGAGGGCATCTTTTGTTTAAGGCAATTTTATTTTACTTAACATTGTGGTTAAGTAAAACACAGCAAATTTATCAGATCTATTATAAGTCTTCTCTTATAGACAATTAAAATAAAACCTCATGATTTCACTAAATATGACAGGAATGATCAATTATCAAGATAGCTGCTAGTGCTCTATGGGGGCATATTGGCTTTGTTGAGATACCTGTCATCTGCAGTATTTTCCAGTGATTTTAACACTGGTTTTAACTGAAGATCTGCACTTAGATGGGGAAAGTGGAAAAAAAGTCACACAAATCTTTAGAGCTTGTCTTCCTGAGACAGGAAGTCCAGAAATAGCATCATGCAAAGAGGGCTGGACAGCTCCAGCCACAAGCAAACGATTTAACAATTCAGAGCTTGGTTTTGCACCTTGATAACTAAAAACATGCTTCAAAGAGCTCACACAGGCTGTGATTGAAAATTTTTTTTTTTTTTTTTTTTAATGGTATGAAAGAACAGAAAACAGATGTAATTTAAAGAGGTATGAACAAACGATACTGAGACTAAGATGTATTTAAAAAAATAACCTAAATCCATAAACTAGTCCTTTGAGTAACTGGAACTGAATTAAATGTAATGAGGTCCATTTCAATGAGTGTAATTTTGTTTTTAGCTTTGAAGCAGAAAAGTAAAACACTGATACTGCAAATGGAAATCATAAAGGTTCTATACTTAATGTGAATTTTGTTAAAAAAGTATTAAGTATGTTAATTAATAAATTGGATGCAAAGACCATGCCTTCATTAATTAAACCAAGTGAATAAATGTCGTAATAAGAGGCCTAATTGAAATCAAATACTGTATGTATTCAAGATTTAAGCTATACACAAACAGTACAATTCAACTGAGCACATTCAGATTTGCTGCAGTAACTGTCCACAAGGTGTCTCTGTCCTCTGTAACTTCAGCTTCAGAAACAGTATATCATGCTGTTAAGCCAGCCATTCTCATATCCTTTTCCTGGAGATCTGCCTTTAGTCTAACACACCTTCTAGTAATGATCAAGTGAACCCCAAAACTTGATTTGCTGGTTCAAGTGTGTTTTATTAGAACTCCATAGGAAGGTGGATCTACAAGAGTAGGATTAATAATAACGAAAAAATATAAAGGTTCATAAATTAAATTTCTAAAGTGACTACAGAAGATAAACCTGCTTTATAAATGTTACAGTAATCCCTCAGTTAATCATAGCATCATTTCTGATCAGGTACCAGTTACCTATTGTGAAGTTTACACATTCTTTGGAGCACTGTCACATAGCTAATTCAACATGAGTAAAATTAATTCTGTAATCGAACTGTAATCGAACACACCTGAGTCAACTAATCAAAGTCTATATGTTCACTTGTAAATGGTACTGTAGGCAGGTGTTGAATAGGAGTTGAAATTGAAATCCCTGCAGTAAAGTAGATTTAAAGTAGCAATGCTGAGGACCCCTGGTGTATAATACACAAAAACAGATTCAAATGAAATCACATTCCTTTCAGTGAATTTAAACATTAGCTGTTTAATATGAAAGCAAAAACTATCCCAGAGGTTAAGCATCTGCCCACCATTGCATGAATAATACCGTGTTGTTTACAAACTGTGAGTGTGGTAGGCCTAAGGGAGTTTATGATATGCAAACAAGTGGTTCTTGAAGTTTATAACAAATTTTTAAACTAAGAGAACATTCATGAGATTACATTAAAACTTTGAGTTGGCTTTAAATTTCAAAATAAGGAGGATGCCCTTACCTGTGTCCCCAAAGAACGCTGTCCGTTTTTGATCCCTGAAGAGTCCTGCTGATTCCCCTGCTTTAGATGGGCTGGACGCTGCTTTACGGAACAGTCCATTTCCACCAATGGTTTCACCCAAACCACCATGTCTGATGAGCATGTGGATCACCATCTGTTGCTGTGTGCGGAAGCCCTTTCCGCACTCCAAGCACTCCGAGGTTTTCTGGGAATTCTTACGGCTAGGGCGAGAAGTAGGCCGGTACTCAGTGTCACACAGATTCTCTGGGCTTCGCTCACCTATCGAAATCTGGTCATTCCTTTCTCCATTGTTGTGGTGATCTGTATTGGAGCCTTGGGTCCCAGCCCCTCTCCGTTTCTTAGTTGGGATACTCGGCATTGAATCAAGTGATTTCTTCCGCTTGTCCTGTCTCAGCAAGACATACTCACCTTTTTCCCTGTCATATGCTACATCTGCATCAGCTAACCTCTCTTCCCAACCCAGGCTCTTCTCCGATACCTCCACCACTTTGCCTCTGGTGGCCAGTTGCCAAGCCTGGTAGCTACAAACTGGATCGAGCTCCGGGATTCTTTTCCCTAGAGTTCCGTCAGTGGGGTTCTCTTCATATCCTGCTGGTTTCAAGTTTAGGCATTCCAAGAAGCTTGTCTTGGTGACAGATGCAAAGTCCTTATCACTGCATAAGGTATTGTTAGGAGGCAGCTCAACATTTCTGTGGACCTGTTCGTGCAACAGGAGGCTCTTGCTGTTGTGGAAGAAGTTACCACACTTGGCACAGAGTTCATACAGACACACTTCGTTCACCAAGTTCGACTCGTCCTGTGCCACCTCATTGACAGTAGCCGGAAGGTAAGAGTCACTCTTTGGTTTTACCTTGGTGTTGTGGGTCTTCATGTGGCTACGTAGGAACCAGGGCTCACGAAAGCGGCGTCCACAGATCCGGCACCCATGATCCAGACTGTTCTGATGCTTTTTCATGTGAGCTTTCAAAAACCAGGCCTGGGTGAACACCTGGTCACATTGTTCACATGGGAACTCGCCTTTACCGAGTACACAGTCAGCATCCTCGCTGATAGAGACTTCTTTGGTGACAGATTCCTCCTCAATAGGATGTACCTTCTCAATGTGAGCCTGCAGTTGGTCCTCCTGCAAAGTCTCATAAGGGCACAGTTCACATCGGAAGACCTTGTGAAGATCCTGCATATGCTGTTCAAGCTCTGCAAGACTGGACAGTCTCTTCCTGCACAGAGTGCATTGCACTGACTGTTTGCCATTCTCACCAGAGGTTATGTCCTTCTTCCCACCTTTCTTCCTTGTTTTGGTCACATCCTCACCGCTCACAACCTTGTTGCAGGCCGAGGTACTCTCAGTCGGACTGGAGCAACCGCCTTGATCTTCTGGCACCCCTCCTTCCTTTTCCCCTTCCCCTTCCTCGTCCACGTCTTCCTCCTCACCACCGATGCTCTGGCTGAGGCCGTCCAGTTTGTGACTGCGAATGTGGGCCTTTAAGCTACCCTTCTGGGCTGAGCGGTGTTCACAGTGAGGACACTTGTATGGTTTCTCCCCAGTGTGCTTTCTCATGTGCTGGGACAATGAGCTGAGAAAAGGAAAACTTCTTCCACAGAGTTCACAAGTGTGACCTCTGCTCTTCTTGCCTTCCTGGTGACCCTTGGAGAAGGACTCTTCCTCTACAATGTCCGGCCGTTCCACCTCCATCTCAAGGCTTGAATATTCCACTATGCTGCTATCTGTTGTCCAAATTATTAGATCCTATTAAGTCTGTCTCGCCTGTAGTCATTCGGTCTGGGTAAAAGTTCTCTTTGTCAAACGGGCCATTGTTGGTAATTCTGTCTTGACAGTGTTGCTTTTGTCTGGAATATGTCTGGAGTTTTTTCTCCTATGAATCATCTTATCAGCTGAGGGTTTGCTTCATTCTGGTCACCTGGGAGGAAATGGAGACAGAACAGAAGCAAAATTGAGAACAAGACTTGCAAATGAGCAAATAAAGGTTATTCATTAATCCATTAGTCCATAGCAATAAACAAGCTGCTATTAGTAAATGGAAGGCACTATGCATATTTGTTTTATAAAATGACTGTTATTATGAATCAAGTGCTGTTATGAATCAAGTGCTACATAGAAAAGATGTAGAGATACAAAACTGTTAAATGGAAAAAACTTAGGCCCAGTGTTTGAGACAACCACCAGCTAACAGAGTCCTTTTATATAATGTCATCTGACTGTCTTTTTTCAGTCAAAACTATTCATTTAAGGCAGGATCCATACTTCATAGCTGAATACAGAGGACACAGTACATTGGGTTTTATGCTATGCACCATTTACAAGTGAGTGGGAGAGGGACAATGAGATAGAGAGAGAGAGACTGCTGATGTCCTCATTTAAGAGTCAGAGGAAATGGCACATCTTTAAGTATTGCATAAACACACTAACTTATCCAACATGCTTTCTGATTATTCTAACAAGACCTTAAACAAAGATACAGTAAATACACTGCTCAATATTCTGACAAGAAGGATATTAATTGTTTAAAAATTCTCAAAAACATACACACCCCAGTCCAGAATCAGGAGTTCTTGCCATTCTGTTTCATTTTCTATCAAATGTAAACATAGCAAATCTTTTTTGCATTCTTCAAAAATGGTTATGCTGACTGAATGCTTATTGTAATACATAGGCTGTGTGTTGGCATATCTGTTGATCTAGTTTGTGCAATTGGTTAATTTGGGTAAAATAAATACATTCTACACTACAGTAGAGACTAAGTCTGAGTAACAAGAGCTAATATCTCAGTAATATTGGGGCTTTAAGCCAAAGATCCAGTTGTACAAATGTGTGTAAATACTATTACAATATATTTTGAATTTAAATGTTACAAATTTATAGAGTTTATTATAATTATAATAATAATATTTCCAGTTCAAAAATGTTTTGATTTTCATAATTATTGCTTACTCGTTACATTTAAAGTTAATTACGGTTGACATTTAGCTGAAATACCAATAATAGACAGTTTAACTTAAGGCCAACATGTGTTCAAAGAGCTGGAAATGTTCAGTATTTTTTTCTTTTTCTTTAAGGTATGTGTGACAACTTGCCCCCATCCACCTTATATTTCAGCCCATTTGTGTGAATCTTTGCCTGAAGGACAACAGCAAGTCTCAGTTAGTCCCCTCTCATAGTCAGTATGAGCAGTGGCTGTCTGCTCACAGGCCTAAATTCATTGTGTGTACAAGTGTGTGCGTGTGTCTGCTCAGGCGTAAAGAGACTATTCAGTGTTAGGCAAGAGATGGGCCAGTTGGGATGAACCCTGAGGGCCGGTCCTCTCTCTCTCCCAACAATCAATAATCCATTATATACAAACTACATTTCACCACTGGCCCTGCATCCCCCTCACACAAACACACACATTCTAATGCACAAAATGCACTCGCCTCTCCACAGTTCATCTTTTACGGTAAGTTAACTTGCTGTGCTATAAAATGCCCGGTAAGAAATTTAAAGAGGAGACGTTTAGGAAATTGGAAGTTTTCCTAGAGGTCCCATCATCAATTTATCTCGACTTATATCCAATGTTTGCCTACTTATCTAGTTTATTTCCTTTGATTATTTGATTTTGTATGTTGGGTAGCGTGTAAACAGTGTAGCCTCTGTGACAATGGAATGGATGAGGTGCTTAACCGCATAATAACTGAACTGAACATGCTGAGCTGGTAATGAATAGTGTTTTGCTGTTTCGCAAACCAATGAGCTGAGCATTAAATCGCCGTAACTATGATACCAAGAGGTTTGGGAGATGTGTAAGGACACACACTACACAAACACACACACACATATATACACACGTCAGCAATGGAGTTATTATTGAAACATGGCTGTTCTCGGAGGGCTTACCTCAGCTCTGCTGACCTACTTATCCCCAGACAGTTCATCTCATCTTGTAGCTCCATCAATGCAGGATCAGTGCATTTTTCAAATTGAGCGGTGTGTGTGTGTGTGTGTGTGTGTGTGTGTGTGTGTCAGTACGCGTGTGTGCACTCAAATCCTAAACCAAATTGTGCATTTTGTCCAAATGCACAGAGACAGTAACCAAACCACTAACAGGCATCAATGCTGACAAAAGAAGATAGAAGAGCTTGATTGTCTTTTGTTCTCATTGTGATGTGACAGACAGCAGATTAATCACTTGTTTTTCCTTAAGACTGCAACCAGTGAGATTGATAATGCAAAATCTGTCCTAAAACAAGCATAATGTAACAAAACACAACTTTGGTATGAATTAACATCCATTTTGAATTTCCACTCAATGTGCAAATGGTATTTTGTTTTTATTCAAAATCACAATTACCAATGATGAAACTCATTGTGTTATCCATCATTATTGCGAAACTCCTTTAGGAACATATTGTCTCTACGGTCTTCCTATCTTACTAACGATTTGGTGGATCTCAAATCCCCTTAAACTACAATTGCATTGTGCCTCTCACACCAGAACTGTCACAATAGCTCATGTCTATACCTCCTCTGAGCTGCGGGGAGTCCAACGCGGCCAATGTTGGATGCAAGGGTCCATCCTACGCTAGAGGCCTGTCTGAAGCATGTCTGGTTGAGGAAGACAAAGGGAAGTCCCTCCCGGTCCCATCTTGGAGTAAATCCTGCCTGGTACCCTCAACTACTGATTACGGCTGAAATAAAAGGGGGGCCCTGGCGCAAGTTTACGACTGCAAGCACAATAGCAGGTGCTGAGGCTAACGTTGTCATGTTAAATTACGGGAAATATTCTGGTGTGTTCCAGAGATGTAATTCCCCCAGGTTTGAAACTGAGGAACGAGAGGAGCCAAGAAGAAACAGGCTTGGTTGGACATGCTTCACGAAATGTCAAGTCTAGCAAAGTTAAAGTCTGTGTAATGAGGAATGTGAGTACAGATGTGGTCATACGATAAAAACTGAACGGAGAACGGGCACAAATGTTTCCATTCAGCTGAAATGTAAAGCTAAGTGATACAGCTTGCACAGGGTGAAGGGCTCCTTTGTTCTGCAGTGTTTCTGAAATGAAGACACAATGAACACTACTTAACTGTAGCCTGTCCACGTTACATAGGCATAAAACAAGATTTACAACTCGAGTTCTTCAAAAATACACATCCCCTATAGAGACTTCGTCCCTGTCCACTAGTTATGGTTGTTGACAGTGGTTATGATTAGGCGTGTGTGATTCTAGTGGTTTCCACAGTTGGGATACAGCCACCGTTCATTTGAGATTCCTGAGGAACCTTCTTCTGACACATCTGCGCCCTGCCTCAACTCTTAGCTGTCGTTCCTAATACACATTTGCCATTATATACACTGTACAAAGTAAGCACCTTATAAATAGTTAGTGATTAGTGATTCAGTCCTCTTAAAGGAACAGTTCACTCAAAAATTGTATCATTATTTAGTCACCCTCACTTACTTTTCACCATTTCAAAGCCTTATGCTTTTATTTTCACAGTGAAGTATAAAAGTAGATTTAAAGACAATTTATAGTGATCAGGAAATGGTCAAACGCCAATAATCACTTTTTGTGTAATGATTTCGAAAACATTCCTATTTCTTTTCCATTAAAAAAATTTGTTTTGGAGTGAAAAATGAAATGAACAATATAATAAACAAAATAACATTAAATTTAATAATAAAATACACTAGTTTTGCTCACAGGTTTTGGGTTGATATGATTGTTTGATATTTCATGCCTATGATCATGATCAAAAATACAATAAAACAGCAACATTGTGAAATATTACTACAATTTAATATAACAGTGTTGGTGAATATAATTTTAAAATATAATTTATTCCTGTTATGGCAAAGTTGAATTTTCAGCAGCCATTACTCCAGTCTTCAGTGTCACATGATCCTTCAGAAATCATTCTAATATGCTGATTTGGTGCTTAAGAAACATTTCTTCTTATTGTGAATGTTGAAAACATTTGTGCTGCTTAATATTTTGGTTGAAACCATGATGTATTTTTCAGGATTCTTTGATGAATAAAAAGTTCAAAAGAACGACATTTACTTTTAATAGATATATTTTGTGACATTACAAATGTATTTACTGTCTCTTTGGATCGTGTAGTGCATCCAAAAAGCATCCCATTAAAGTATTAATATATTTTAAAAAATAAATAAAATGCTGACCCCAGACTAGGGCTGGGCGATATAGCTAAAATATGCATCAACGATATAATGTTTCATATCATTCGGTATGGATAATTATTGACATTTTTATAACCTTTTTTAAAACAAAGAGCAATAGAATTTTTTTTTTTTTATTTAACCACTGTATTTTTAAATTAACCCAATTTATTGAGACAAACAACAAATACTTTTGGTTTTAACAGTCAAACACAATAACAATTTTACAAATATCTAAGTTTTAATGTTTTATGTGCAGATTAAATAGGTTTTAAGGAAACTTTTGGCTTGTCTCCCAAGGCCACAGGAGGGCGCAATGAGCAAAATAATGCAGCACATTTAAATTCTCAACGCAAGGAAATAAATGTCTATAAAAATATCTGCATTACGTCTAAATTAACTCATATAAATCAAATATAATTTCGTAAATTGCATAAACAATTATGAACAAAACAGCATCATGTATTCATGCATTGCATGCAATACAAAGAGCCGAATCGCCCATCACGCAGATTGCATTTAAAAACATAAGAGATGCAGTAAAAGGGAATAAACCTCCACAAATGTTACCATATGTTACCACATTAAGCATATTCTTTAAGCTACCTGGAGCTATTTTACAGTATACGTTGGAACATATCTGCTAAGGCAAAGCTTTAATTTATCCTTAGTATTGTTCTTTTTCTGTGACATACTACTGCTGAAGTAATTAAGTGAAAGCACGCAGGTGATGGAGATTTACCGCTGATT